TTCCTTTACTACGCGTGTACTACAAAGTTGCGACTTTCGAGCCGGAGCTCCGGGAGTGCGTTTCCTTTACTACGCGTGTGCTACAAAGTTGCGACTTTCGAGCCGGAGCTCCGGGAGTGCGTTTCCTTTACTACGCGTGTACTACAAAGTTGCGACTTTCGAGCCGGAGCTCCGGGAGTGGGTTCTCCGAGAACGAACAGGGGGCCCCCTAGTAATACACATGTTTTTCCCCGGGGGACCAGCTTATTATTATTGGGGGGGACCGTTTCATTGTTAGGGGGAACTTGCATTGACACAGGTGCCTCAAGGCGACGATTGAAACTGAAACAATCCAAGGTGTTGGGCCTTGGCGCGGGACGGTTCCCAGTACACGCAGCTGCTCTATGTGAAAGATAGCGCAGAAGCTTGAACTTAGATTGGTTTTGGGCAGGGCGAATGTTTTTTTGACTGATGCGAATGCGAGGAAATTGCCCGATGGCGCCTCTCGGAACCTTTACTCTGCTGTCCGCAAAGGGTCGGCGGAGCGGCGCAGTCCTACCCCCAGCTGATCAGCGCTTGCTTCGTCAGATGTGCCTGCCAGAAAGGGCCGCTCGCCCTGTCTTGTTTGTTCCCCTCAGCTACGCAGGAGAGCCGCTGGGTATCCAAGACGTTGAAAGGTATATTGGCAACCGTTCCATCGAATATTCGCAGATTCGGGTTGTGGTAGCAACGGGTGGAGGGTCCGCGCAGCAAGCTTCCATAGCACCTTACCAAGCCAGGCCAGCTCAGCCTCAAACTGAGCTTGCTGGGTGGCTTACAGAGCTTCAGCAGAGCATCGCAAGCTTGGGGGCAGACAGCCAGCCAAAAGGCCTGTTGGGCAGCTTGACGCAAAGCTTGAGTGTGAAGGTTTGTCTTGAGAGTCGCCGCCATGGCGGCTATCAATACAGCTCGCGGCAAATGGTCAACACTGTGCTTTTATCAGACGAACTCAAAGACTTGGCGCAAATCAAGAACGTTGTTTGTCAATGTTTCAATTTGTCCCTACAACCTGCGCTTGCTGATCACCTTTTGCAACAGGAGCCAGCCGTTGAAAGTTGAAAGCTCGTTTTGTTGGTACTGCCGATTCACTGCCGTTGGTTGCGAGTTGTTGTTGTTGTTGTTGTTGTTGTTGTTGTTGTTGTTGTTGTTGTTGTTGTTGTTGTTGTTGTTGTTGTTGTTGTTGTTGTTGTTGTTGTTGTGGTTGTGGTTGTTGGTTGTTGTTGGTGCTGTTGGTTGTTGTTGGTTGTTGTTGGTTGTTGTTGGTTGTTGTTTGTTGTTGTTTGTTGTTGGTTGATGTTGTTTGTTGTTGTTTGTTGTTGTTTGTTGTTGTTTGTTGTTGTGTGTTGTTGTGTGTTGTTGTTTGTTGTGTGTTGTTTTTTGTTTTTGTTGTTGTTGTTGTTGTTGTTGTTGTTGTTGTTGTTGTTGTTGTTGTTGTGGTTGTGGTTGTGGTTGTGGTTGTGGTTGTGGTTGTGGTTGGTTGGTCGGTTGGTGTCGTTGTTGTTGTCGTTGTCGTCTTGTTGCGGTGGTTTCTCGGCCCAACTCTAGGAGATCCGGGTGCCAACGCTCACTACGGTGTATCGCCACCGCCTTCTCCTGGACATCGCAACCATGTTGTACGCCCGTCGGGCGTTCTTCAGTCCTGATTGTTCGTGGGCGCTCCACCTGAGAGCTGACGCATCTCCTCAATTTGGGAAGGATTATTTCGTTGTGCAGGGGGACCATGTCAGAGTTGGCGAGATCACCGACTCCACCCATTTCCGAGCTTGGGCGTGCGTGTTTAGTGGCAGATAGTTTTCTTGATCTTGACGGAGTTTGAAGGTGTTTGGAAGTTCGGGTGTTTTCTTCTAGTTGCTGTGATTTTTAGCCACGTTAGCCAGCTTTTGGTGTCAATTCAGGACACATGAAAGACCTCATCACAAGGCGCTTGTTCCCATTGCAGATTCTTGGAGAGCGTGCGACATCGGCAGCACACAAAATATTCCGTCTGCATCTGGCACTAGCGGCTGACGCATCTTCTGCAGACTTGGCGTTGCTACGAACTGTGTCTCTGGCTTTCGACATGGGAGTCGAGTCCAACATTCTGGCTGCACCTCGCGCAGCTGCCGGTCAATCAACCGAAGTTGCCTTGCTCGCCGACTCCAACCGTTTGAGATCGAACCCGCTTGATCTGATTTTCCCTGCTCGTCCGCCGTCCAACATTGATGACCCGGACAATTTCAACTGGAGTGAAGTGGAGCGACTTTGCCCACGGGCAATGCCTTTGGGTGACGCCGACCACGCCGCGGGTTGGCAAGAGCAACACTTTCAAGCTTTCTATTCCCGACCTTTTCCGGTTTCATATGTTCATCTTTGCTATTCCCGGCCGATTCCGGTTTCACATGTCGGCGACGCCCTTGTCAGGCAATGCATCATGTGATGCTGGAGATGAAGCTAGCGTTTCCCCAGTGGGCATTCTTTCATGGCACCTTGAACGCCATCTCCAAGTTCTTTGGCAAATGGAGCAGGTTGCGCCGATTCCGTTCCACTGCAATTCAAAAGAATCCGCAACTCACAGTTTCAGCGCCATGTTTAACCACACTTGCCCAAGCCTGCAAGAGCAGCGTTGGGAATACTTGCGCCCTGGCTACATCCGACAAGGTATGTGGGTGTGCTTTGATTCGCTCGGTGTTGGATGCAAGGGGAGCTCCTGACTTAGGCCAGCAATCAGTTTTTGTGTGGGCGTTGCGTCCAAGACCCCCGCCCATTGTCGATTGTCGAGGTGATGATTTTAGCATTTCACGCAACCCATTTGGCCCCGTTTGCCCCCTCCACCCAACCACCCCCGCCCTTTTTTCCCCCCTCCCTTTTGCTTTGGTCTTAGGGGCTTTCCGGGTTTGGGGGGGGGTGGTTTGGCTCGAGTCGCACGGATGTGGGTTTGCCCAAAGACGGGGCCCGCTTTGCTCACGTATTGCGAAAGACACATTGGTGTTGGTTTTCGCAGGGTTGATAAATTGTTGGTGAGGTGTTGTGGACAAGCAGGTGATTTGTGGGGTGGTTCCCATCCTCTATAGTACAAGTTGGGAATACAGGGCGATTTACGCTCACGCCTCGTTTTGACATGTTTGGGGTTGTTGCTTCATTGTGTCATCTTAGCAGCCCCCACGAATTCCTCAATTCGACGCTGAATCTATGTGCTTTGTGAATTCAACTGGTTTTCTCAGATCCTTCAGCCCCTGACTACCATTCGTGTTTCCTTGTGGTTCCCCTGTTGTCCGAGGAAAGATGTTCTGGACTGGCTCATTCCCCGCCGGCTGCCCATAGAAGCCTTGTCGATTCACGCCGTGCCAGAGTCGCATGATCTAGATGCATCAGACATTAACTTCATCACGCAGCTGGCCGAAACAGAGCGGGCTGTGCTGTTCTGGGCAATGGTCATGGCCATTCAGCCTTTAGTGGATTTCGGGGCTCATGTAGTAAACTGGCTACACGGTTGCACATGCGGCTGCCCGACGAAGAAGTACATCTGCCCGTTGAAGGGGAGGCGCGCGGTGGAGCTTGCGCTTGGCAAAATGGAAGATTTCATGAGAGAATTGAAGAAACTGCCCTTGACACAACCTGCTCTTGTTGAACATGACCAGCTGGCTAAGCAGAGCAAGGATGCTGGTAGCGACCTGCTATCGCAGTTCAACGCAGCGAAGGCCGTGTGCAAAAAACAACCGCGAAGTTTATGGGCGTGTCTTTTTTTGAGGGTGCCCCCTTTTTGTGGTTCTAAAAGGAAACCGAGAGGGAAAACCACCAAACCACCGTTTGGGGGCCCTTGAAAAAGGACGAGCGTTCTTAATCTGGGGACATTCAAGGTCAAAGAGTCTCCTGCCGAGCACTCGGGCCCATTTGTTAGGTGGTGTTTGCTGTGAGTAGTAGTAGTAGTTTGTTAGATTTGTCATGGCAGAGCGCCAGCCAAATTGCTTGACTCTTTGTCCTGTGAGGCAAGGATGCTTTTGCGGATGCGTCAATCTTTTGGTTTTTGGAATGAGCGCCCTTGGTGCGTTCTGCGTGTCGCTGAATGCTTGATTCGAGTTGCTTGGAAGCACAGCTATTCGCCTTGCCCTTTTAGCGATTTGCAAGTGGAGAGATGGGAGAGAGAGAGAGAGAGAGAGAGATAGGGAAAAGAGAGAGGAAGATAAACGGACGTTGATCAAAAGGTTCTTATAAGGACTTATACTGTGGAGGGCCATAGCGCTGTAGGCGTTTGTGCCCACGACGATCCGCGGCGGAGTCAACCGATTTAGCGAAAGCTTCTTGGCTTCTTGGAGGCTTGCTTGTGCCAGACCCCACTCCCTTGCAGACAGGGAGACGGGCAGCGCCTTTACTTGCCTTTTTCTGGCAATGGTGCAAAGCAAAACGTTGGCTGGGCTACTTTGGAGCAAGTTTCGCGAGAGATCCGAGAAAGATGTGGCAAAAGCCCGCAGAGCGTAGTTGCAAGGTTCCGCGCATTGGGCCCAGGACGGAGCAGTCACTGCAAGCGCAAGTGGAAAGGGCGAATGATAGTGACTGCTTTCGCCTCACGCTGCTGCAAGCCTGCCAGCCCGGGTTTGCAAGCGCAACTGCAGCAGCAACAATGGCTCCAGAGAGCAAGCTGGAAACAAAAGGGCATGGCGATGGAGTCGCGGAAGATTCACGAAAGATAATCGTTTCTCTCGCGAAGATTGCGTTTTCCGGAAGCAGGAATTTTGATCGACTGCCTTATAGAGAGAGAGAGAGAGAGAGAGAGAGCCAGAAAGAGCGAGAGTCAAGCAAAGCGGTCTCTATCCCCGGAGCCAAAATGAAATTTGACATTTTTGCGGGACGTCAGCTGGATGTTACATCATGTGACAGCTTGATTGCCGGCCCGCGCTGCCACTTCAGGAAGATGACAAGGCTGCCGTGGCAAGGAGCCGGGGAGCTGCCCGAGACTTTCTGCAACCGGGTTGGCGTGCTGCCACTGCGATGGAAGCCCGCTTCACAATGCTAGGAAGCCAGCTGCGCGCAGACATGGATGAGTTTGCGTCCGGACGGCCCCTGGACCTAGCTTTGCGCAAAGAATTGCTGTCTTACGCCACTGCGCTCCTCGTCCTCAAGACTCTTGAATCGCGCCACCATCTTATTCAACAAGCCATCAGCAGGGGGCGGGCGCTGTCAGTGGCCTCTGTGTCAGCCGACCTCCGAAGAAAACACAACCGTGACCTTCACCGAGATGATTTCCAGGCTGATTTGCCGAGCCTTTTGGAATCGCTGGGCACCCTCACATGCATGCCATGGCGCACACGCACTGAGTTGGTCAATGCAATTGTAGGGCAAACCTACCGAGGGCTTCACGATGACTTGTCAGCGCAGGCTGACTACTATAAACGGTTCCGTGAATTCTTGAAGCATCAAGCTTCCACAAGACAACGCTCTCCAGATTTTCTCCTGCAGTCTGCGCACTTGGAATCTTTGCTGGTTGAGTCCAATTATTACGGCATGCCAGTTGATCGGTCGGCCATAGGCAGGGGAACTCAGGTGTTCCAAGTCCTAGCGCTCCACCCAGGGAGGCGGCAGTATGTGCAGCGAGCAGCGCATGTGTCTTCTGATGCGCCTTGCTTGAACTTTTGCACCTAGTTCTGGGACGCTCTGGGTGTGGTTCCCGCCTTTTTTCAATAGTCAACCAAGTGGTCGGTCTTGCAAATGGATTTTCAGTTTGAGCCCAGCCAGCCTCTCCCTGGAAGGTCTGGCAAGATTGCGTGGCAATTCGGATGCTTGGGTGTCTTGACACGCTACACCCAGCGTTGAATATGAAGTGGATCCAGATATTGCCACTGTCGAACCCTTCCACGTGGACGATTTTTTCACTGGCGACCGGCTGCGCCATTTGGTGTGCTTCACGAAGGCGGATAAGCATTCAAATTGTAAGCAGTTTCATGATTGAACCCTTCATGGCAATTTTCCTCTAAAACCCCAAAATGATCAACTCTTGCCAGTTGCACAAGTGTTCCGCTGTAACCCTAACATCACTGACAAGGGCCATGCCCAAGTGTGCTCTTGCTTGAGGTCGAGTCGCGGCCAACATTTTCGCACCAGAGTTTGCAGGATGTTTTTCAAGCCTCTGAGCTGAGTGAAGATGGGTCAGGGATGTGCCAGCTGGATGTTGCCATGATGGACTGTGTGCACAGACTTGCAACGAACGCAGTGGCGGCATCTCACCTTGAGCTGAAACCATCCAATTCTATGGAGAGGAGGGCTGCAAAATGGTTGGAGGAATGGGCTGAGTTGGCGCGGGATGGCAAGTTGCTGCCGGCCGCTATTGCAGCTACGACAGTTTTGTCGCAGCCTTGCCTGGTGACCTCGCCTGAAACAGCGTACAGCAAGCGGCAACTGCTGCTGTCGCAAAGATGGCAGTTGGCTCCTCATGCCCGCAAAGCTTGCGCTCAATCCAAGCTGCTGCACCCGCGGCAAGCAGAGAGTTACTATGAGTTGCTGCTCGAACACGCAGAGGGAATTGCTCAAGCCGGGCAAGCTTTCTCACACACCCAAAGTTCCTACTACTACGCGGCCGTTCAGGCTGCCATTGCGAATGCTCTGACTCTCAACGCGCCCGTGTCTTGCATGACATTTGTTTGTTTGTTTGTTTGTTTGTTTGTTTGTTTGACTTTTTGGGTAGCGCCCTGTGTGATGAGCGCCAACGTCACGACGGCTCCGAGGCCATAAGCTGGGAGGACACAGTTGGCCAGGTGCCTCGGAACATGAAGGCAGACTTCTACGACATCTTGGCCCAGTTCTTCTCTGGTTGCTTGGCAGCAGGCTGTTGGTCGGGGGTCCGGACTATATTTCTATATGCCAACATGGACTGACTCAGGCGTATCAGACATTGATCCTCGGTGTGATCTGACCCAACAACAGCCGCAAAAAAGGATGGTACGTCGCAAAACAAGGCCTGCCAAGCGCAGGCTAGGCCGTCAAGCTGGTGAATCTGATGTGCTTCGCATTAGCTCAGAGTCTGATGGTGAAGAGGTATTGGTGGTTGACATGGACGTGTCGCCGCGGCCATCAAGCAGTCGCGGCAATTGCCTCTCCTTCAGTCCTGCCGTGCGCAAGGACTTGCAGAGGTGCCTTGCTGCGGAATCCTGCCATGATGTTCAGCTAGAGGATGCCCAAGACGAGGCGCGCTGGGTTTGCCCACTCATATTTTTTTGCGCCCGCCCAGCGTGTCCAGGCTGTGGACGATGAGCCAGAGCCAGCCGAGATGAGAAACCGCGATGATCCTGCTGATGCAGCGCCAGCTCACCCGGACCCTGACGCTGGCAGCTGCCTTACATCGCTTAGTGTCGGTATCATGTCGTGGCATTCGCGTTTGCCTACACATTTGGCCTTGTCCAAGTCCGTGCTGCTGTGGAAGCTTTGAAGCCTCTAGCCGAGCAACACCATCGATCCAAAGATACTGCTCGCATCATCATTGATGTGGCTTTACCAGAATTGTGCCGCAGCATCTTGCAGCATCCTGATGAGTTGCCTGCTACCCGGGTTGAGCATGCCATGCAAAGCATCTTGATTGATTTGGCAGTGATTTTTTTGAGGGGTCTGTAACAGAGCCGCGGCGGACATTCGTTACAGACCTCGTTACAGACCTCTGTAACCAGACCAGCTGGCTCGTTACACACCCCTCGTTACACACCCTCGTTGCACACCCTCGTTACACACCTCAGATGAACAACCAGTGACGTGACTGCCCTCTTTTCGCCGCAGCCTGGCTTGCGTTGAATAGCTGCAATCAAGCTGGAGCTGCGGAGGCGCTTTGCGTACTGTGCTTTGCTTTGCCTCGTTACAGACCTCGTTACATAGCCGTTACATACCTCGTTACAGACCCAACCCCAGCCGCAGCCCGGGCCAGCGACCCTGCTTTTTGCCGCAGCTTGGCTTGCGTTGAATAGAGCTGCGGAGGCGTTCTTTGCGTACTGCGCTTTGCTTTGCCTTGTTACAGACCTGGTTACATAGCCGTCACATACCTCGTTACAGACCCAACCCGAGCCCGGGCCAGCAACCCTGCTTTTGCCGCAGCTTGGCTTGCGTTGATGTGCTCCTGGTTCTGCTTGTCAGGAAATGTTTTTCCCGTTGCAGACCTGCGTAACAAGGACCTCCGTTACAGACCTCCGTAACAAGATCGTGCCGCGTTGCACATTACAGACCCCTAAAAAATTCATAGCCATTTGATATCCTTTCTATCAGTGTGATTTTGTGAGTCTGCGCTGTTCTTGGGTGTTAAACTGTGAGATTGCAGTTGCGACGGGCTTGAGACCTTGCCTGTTGGCCAAGGCATAGATCGGAGAGGCGAGAGATTCTGGGGCGCTCACCAAACTTTCTCTCGGAAGCGAACAGTGCGTGATGTGCTGCTCCTGGTTTATCACGACCGCTCCCAAGAGCTTCTTTCGTGAAACCCGGCAGTTTGCAAGAATGGCGGTTGGAGCACTGTTTCAGTGACACATATCGCTTCGTGTGTGCGTGCCTGTCTTGTGTTGCTCCAAAGGACAACTCAGCTCCTGCAGTGGCAGGGTAGGGGCAGTACTGATCCCTGATCACCTGTCAAGTTTGCTTGGCCCGACGGGGTGTTTGCAGGCGTTTGAGCACTGTTTCAGTGACACATCGCTTTGTGTGTGTGAGTGCTTGGCTTGTGTTGCTCTAAAGAACAACTCGGTTCCTGCAGTGGCAGGGTAGGGGCAGTACTGATCCCTGATCACCTGTCAAGTTTGCTTGGCCCGACGGGGGTGTTTGCAGGCCGTTTGAGCACTGTTTCAGTGACACATCGCTTTGTGTCTGTGTGTGAGTGCTTGGCTTGTGTTGCTCTAAAGGACAACTCAGCTCAGGCAGTGGCAGGGCAGGGGCAGTACTGACCCTGATCACCTGTCAAGTTTGCTTGGCCCGACGGGGTGTGAGTGCGAAAGTTTGGAATTTTGCTGACCAGCTGGTTCCCCAAAAGATTGCAACTTTTGTGCTGAGACGCTCGGTCGAAAGCAGTGTGATTTGCCTAATTATCATTGTTTGGGAACAAACCCCTTGGCCAGTTGCGGATGAGGAAAGCTTAACACAACTTTCAGCGACGGATATCTTGGCTCGGGCCTCTTGGGACACGCCTGCTTAAGCCCTGCTTCCATTCGACTGCGATTCGGGGGGGGGGGAGTTTCACTGGACTCCCAAAGGAAACCGTGCTTTCCAGCCCCCACTTAAAGGCCAAAGGGTGTGGAGCCTTACGACAGTCTGCGCACCTTTTGGTTTGGGGTTGTTGTCAGGGAAAGGGAAGCGTTCGAAAAGCTATGCTGTCGGGGAATTTCAAAGGACAACCACAAGGAAAATGCATTTTCGGGGCCACCAAAAAGGGTCAAAGAATGTGGAGCCTTAATAAGATCCGCAAGCCCTTTTTTTGGTGTTGTTTTAGAGGGAGGGATGTCTCAGATGATTCCTGGCATGGGCCCCTTTTTTTCGAGAGTGCCAAAGGCAAGCGCAAGGACATGACATTGGTGGGTCCCCAAAAAAGGGCAGAGGGGTGGAGCCTAAAGTCTGTGCACCTTTTCGTTTGTGCTTGTTTTCATGGGGGGGGGGGAATTTCAAAGGACGACCGCAAGGAAACTGCATTTTTGGGACAACACATCATTGTTTGCGGGCGCTCTTGAGTGGGACCTTGCACCGTGTGTGCCAAAGAACATGAGTGTGAGTCACAGCCCAACTCTTTTTCCAGTATGTGCTGCAGGAATTCAGCACGGCGCGTTTGTAAATAGCGAAAAGGACACAAGATAGCTTGACGGTTTCTAGAGTTTCAAGGACACTTTAAAGAATAGGTGCATAAATGTTTTTGTCACGCATGAGTTGTACCTGTTGCTTTTGAGCGAAGTGCAATGTCGGGCTTGAATATTGCTGCGCTGGTTGTAACCAGCTCTGCGACCCCAGTTCAGCAGACTGCCTCTGAGACAGGACTCAACCTTGCATTTGCATTGAGGCGCCACGTTCTGAAGCATCGTGTGAAGCAGAGAGGTGCCAAAGCCAAAGCCAAAGCTGCTGCCAGGCTGAAGAGAGCAAAGGATGCTCCCCATGTGGAGCAACCTTTTGTGGAGACTGTGCCGGAGAACCTACAATTCACCTTCAGATGGGCTCAGCGGTTTGTTGACAGGCTTTGCCAACCAGCAGATCCTGCGGACACTGACCGTGCCATCACGATATGCGGCCACTTTGAATTTGCTGGGGGTGGTGCCGCCGAGGTTGCAGCAGCGGCTCTTAGCCAGGCATCCAGCTCGCCGAAGCTCAATCTCGTTGTGAAAACTCAGTCTGACTGGGACAAAATGAAGATGCGGGCTTTGGAGGCAAACAATACTGACTCCTGCAAGTTTGGGGATATTTGCAATGCTGTGGTGGACAAGACAGTGTTCAATGACAAGCGTGAAAGACTGGCCATTACTCAGGACGAGCTGTTGTATGCCACGCAGCTGCGACGGTGCCTGATTCGTGAACCGGAACCAGATTGTGAAGACAGGCGGTGCAGCGAAGCAGGGCTATGCAGCTTGGACTTGGAAGCCATGCGCAGTGAAGAGGAGGCAGACCTAAGCGACACGCCAGTTCTAGCTCATCAGACTCTACACAGTTCTAGCTCATCAGACTCTACATCGAGCTCAAGCAGTGTGCCGGCGGTGGAGAAGAGTGATGTTTCCGCAGCTTCCGCTTCAAATGCAAACAGTGGGAGCTCAGACGAGAGTGAGGCTTCTGCAGAGCTGACTTCCAACGCAAACAGTGAGTGCTATGATGAGGACATGGTGTTGCAGAAGCTGAGAGGGCTGTTTGACTCCAAGCGCCGACTGCGGTTCCCGGTGGGGCGCGCCGGAGCAGAGTGGACACTGCTGGGAGTTGGGGAGGAGGAGGAGGAGGACTTTGACAGATCCTTGCGCGCCATGATGACGGTGATCACCTCAAAGCATGATGCCTCATGTGAGTGCACATTCTCCAGAAGGCCAGGCCCTGACACACTGATGTGACCAGTGCGATCAAGCACCCATCAAACATTGTAAGTTGGACCCTTTTGGAAGACACGACAAGATTGGTATCAACATAGCATTTGTAGTTGCGAGTCTGAAGAAGTAAGGGGTGTTGCAGGCTCCATGTGAAACCTGTGCGTGTTGCGAAGTCTGCG